AAGATATAACATAGGGTCAAGAGCCAATGATGCTAAAGGAAAATGTTCAAGTTGCACTAAAGGAATTGGCAAAGAACAAGGCACTGGGATTTGATGGAATACAAATTAAGATCTTTCAACACAGATGAAGCACTCACTCATTTATGCCAAGAAATTTTGAAGGCAAATATCTGGCCAACTGATTGGAAGAGATCCATATTTGTACCCATTCCATAGAGAGGTGACCCAATGAAATGTGGAAATCATTGGGCAATCTCTTTAATATCACATGTGAATAAAGTTTTACTAAAGGGAATACAGAAATGACTGCAACCATACATGAACAGAGAACTTCCAGAGGTTCAAGCCAGATTCAGAAGAGAACATGGAATGAGAAATATCATTATTGACATCACATGGATATTGGCTAAAAGCAGAGAATTTCAGAAAGATGTTTACATGTCCTTTATTGACTTTGAAAAGGCTTTTGGTTTTGTGGATCATGACAAGCTATGGACAACAATGCAACGTACGAGTATTCTGCAACACTTAATTGTGCTCATGAGGAACCTGTACATAGACCAAGAGGTAGTTGGTCAAACAGACCATGGGAACACTGAATGATTTAAAATTAGGAAAGTTGTGCACCAGGATTACATTCTTTCACCATACTTATTCAACATGTATGCTAAGCACATAATCCAAGAAGCTGGGTTCTATGAAGAAAAACATGGAATCAGGATTAGAGGAAGACTCATTAACAGCCTGCGATATGCAGCTGATATAACCTTGCTTGCTGAACTCGAAGAGGACTTTAAATACTTACTGATGAAGATAAAAGACAACAGCCTTTAGTATGGATTACATCTCAATGTAAAGAAAAGAGAAAAACCCCAAATAAACAACATTCTTATCATGGATAAAAGATTGAAATTGTCAAAGACTTCATTTTGCTCGGTTCAACTATCAACACTCATGGAAGCAGCAATCAAGCAATCAAGCAACATAGTGCATTAGGCAAATCTGCTGCACAAGACCTTTTTAAAGTGTTGAAGAGCAAAGATGTCAGCTTGAGGACCAAGGTGGGCTTGACCCAAGCCATGGTATTTCCAACAACCTCATCAGCATGCTAAAGCTGGACAGTGAATAAGTAAGACCAGAGAAGAATTGATGCATTTGAATTATGATGTTGAAGGAGAATATTGAAAGTGCCATGGGCTGTCAAAAAAAGACCCCAACAGATCTGTGTTGGAAAAAGTGCAGCCAGAGTGCTCCTTGGAGGCCAGGATGTGGAGACTTCCTCTCTCATACTTCGGACATGTTGTTAGGCACAATCAGTCACTGGAGAAGGACATCATGTGGAGGATCAGAGAACAAGAGGAAGACCCCCAGTTAATGGATTGGCAAAGTGGCAGCATCAATGGTCTCAAACATTGCAATAATTGTGAGGCTGTCCCAGGACCGGGCAGTGTTTTGTAGTGTTTTGCATAGGGTCACTATGAGTTGGTACCGACTCAAGGGCACCTAACGACAACAAGAGGCCACCTACATTCCTTGACAATTGGCGCTTTCATCACAACACCACAGCTTTTTGCTTCCATTGTCACACTGTCTACTACTGAGTTTAATCCTTCTGTTTCCTTCTTATTAGGACCCTTTTGATGAAATTGGGTCCATCCACCTGTATAATTCAGTACCCTCCTCATTATCAAGATCCCTAACTTCATCATATTAACAGAGATCTTTTTATCATGTATGATAACATAGTCATGGGTTCCAGGGATTAGGACATAGACATCTTTGGGACCATTAGTCACTCCACCACAAGGGTACAGATCACCATCACCACCCCTCTTGAGCATTCAAGAGCATGGGTGTTACTATCTGTAACTCTCTTTCCAGTATTCCAGAATGAAAGCAGGTGGCATTTTCCTGGCTCAGAGGAGAAGGCTGCTCAGTGCTTAGGGTTTGGGTATCAGGGCCCCAAGGATCAGAAGAGTTGGTTTGTCCTGGGATGATTTTCTTAAAATAATACTGTGTTTTCAGTGAACACTTTACAGTGTATTAGATTACCTTTAAAGAATTTGAACTCAAATTATTCAGAGACATTGATTAAATTTTTCACAGTGCATAAACTCTCTCATTATTTTCCTCCTGGTTGTTTTACTTCCAATAGTCTAGCTTCCCTGCCCCATTATCTTTGATTTCTTTCCTATGGTCTTCTTGACATGTTAATTAAACCTCATCTGTGCCTCTTTTATACTTGAATATTACACTATGGAGCATTGTAACTTAAAACATTTGACTATTACTTGAGCGTGCTTGTCTTCAGCTGGATCGTAACCACCTAAGTGGAACACATTATTCATATGCTGTTATCATCATGGTTGGAACAAGACATGCCATCAATATTTTCTTTTTATTTCTAGGAATTACTCTTAAAATTTAATTTTGCTTTGTAATTATGTTAAATATTTAGGGTTCTAAAATGAATTCTTTAAAATGAGGTAAAGTCAAGAAAATTTTGCCTCTATGCCTGTTCCTTTTCCTTCCCCCATAAATACTGCTCTTTCTTAATTTAAGATTTCATCTTCATTGGATTGTATATTTGCAACTCCTTGTTTTTTAAGTAAATGCTGCATACTATGCTTATTTGGGAGTATGTTGGCTCTGTAGGATAAACACTGGACCAGGAATCACAAGGTGGATGCTTAGAGCCCAGCAGTCACTCCATGGGGGAAAGATGAGGCTTTCTGCTTCCTCAAAGATTTACAATGTCAGAGACCCTATGCAGTGTCGCTATGGACTTCCAGAAGAACAAATAAATCTGTCTTGGAAGAAATACAACCAGAATGCTCCTTAGAAGCCAAGATGATGAGACTTCGTCTCTTTTACTTTGGACATGCTGTTAGGAGGAAAAAGTCCCCAGGCTTGCTAAAGTGAGGGTCAATTGAACAGAGGAAGATCCTCAACGAGATGGATGGGTACAGTAGCAGCAGTAATGGACTTAAGTGTAACAACGAATGTGAGGCTGTAGTGTTTATTTCTGTTGTGCATAAGGTTGTTATGAGTCAGAGCCTACTCCATGGCACATAACAACAATGAGTGGACTCTTCTCAAGGGTACTTAATAAGAACATTAATGCTCACTTCACTTCAACTGGCTTTATGTCACTTAACAATACAGCCCCACAATTACTTCACAATAGTATGCACACATATTCCTCATTCCATTTTTAGCCATGGAGTATTCTACTTAGTGAGCATGATATCTTATTCAATGATATGGATGGGCATTTAGGTGGCTTTCAGGTATTTGATGTTAAAATAATATTGTGCACTTTGAAGCAAGAGCTATTCTGTATGTAACCACAATGGTGTCTTGAATATACAGCCCAGAACTGCCCTGTGAAGACATTTGGTTAGTGTTTGCTGAATAAATGAAGGAATGTCTTAATGCCACACACACACGAACACACGGAAATAAGCGCTACTTTTGATGTAAGAGTTGAGAGTTTGATACATATTTGTAAGATTTACCTTTCTGATTGCTATTTAGTTACTGCATGGACTTAGCAATTTGTCTCTATGTGTTCTCTCTGATTTACATAGTTTGCCAAGGTTCTTATTATTGATGTGTTTCTCTCCCCAACCCCCTCCCCGTATCACCTTGTAATTTCTGTTTTGGAATTTTAGCTATGGAGCTAAATTTTATTATAACATTTAGCATAAAAAAGCATCTTATTTATCTCTTACAATGCTTTTTGGTTTCAATTTATCTTTGATATCAAGATTGTGACCCCTTGCTCTTTAAAATTTGTATTTTAATGACATATCTTTCTTCATTTTTTTCTTCACTTTTAACAGTTCTCCTTGTTTTTGTTGTATCTCTTTGAAACAGCAGTGTCAACTTTTTCCTTGTTAGTCAATTTGAAAATCTTATTTTCCTCCTCAAGCCCATAGCTCGTAGGGTATGTTGTTGTTGTTGTTGTTAAGTGCCGTCGAGTCGGTTTCGACCCATAGCGACCCTGAATAGGGTTTCCGAGGCTGTAAATCTTTACGGGAGCAGATCGCCTCATCTTTCTCCCACGGAGCAGCTGGTAGTTTCGAACTGCTGACCTTCCGGTTCGCAGCCCGATTCGTAACCACTACGCTACCAGAGCTCATAGGATATAGGAAACATGAATTGTGTTCTTTTTTGCTTTTACATACATTGTTGTTGTGGTTCAGTGATGTCGAGTCGGTTCCGACCCATAGCCACCCTATATAGGGTTTCTTAGTACCGGCTGGTGAGCTTGAGCCACCAACCATGTGGTTCAAACCGACATAGCAGTCTAGTGTATTAACCCACAGTGCCACATCAGGATTTCTCTTACATGCATGGAGTCCTCTAATGTTTAGTTTCCAACTTTTTGTTATTTTCCTAGTGTTTGGTGATCGACCTGTGATATAACAAAACACCTAGAAAATAATCAGGCAGTAACTAGTGGGGTCTGACTTCTTTTGAAAGGTGACAAGAACATGATATGTGTTCTTCAGGTATAGTTTCAAATACAATTGTCTAAGAACTAGAGAAAAATAATCTTAGGGGAGCAACAGTCATATTTTTTGTGCATAAAATAATCACTTTATTTTGGCAAGAAATATATCAGGTTACAGGAAATAGCTAGAGACAAAGAACCCCCGGAGAGAGCTTCCACTGGTTGACAGGTTGAGACTGTATGAGAGCCTCAGCCAACAGCCATCTTCTTAGGCAGCATGTCCTGTTTCCCAACAGACAGAAGGGAAGCTGGGAGACTGTAATTAGACTCATATTTGAAAGGAAAGGAGAAGTTGATTGGGGAGGGAGGCTGGACAAAGGATAAATGTGGACAGATGTCAGTGGATGTGCTGTTTGCTTAATGAAGTCCCGAAGCCCAATGCAATTGAGCAACATTACCTCCATTCCAGCTGTACTAATGCTGAGCACAAAACAGTGTCTGGATCTACAGGGAAGGGAGTGGGTCTAACGAAGTATTTTTATCAACAAGGGATGGCACAGCAGGTGGGGCGGGGGCAGGTGGAGATGACACAGGTTGGGCGATAGCAGGTGGTTTGACAGGAGACTTGGCCACAGACTGGGCGGAGGCAGCAGCAGGGGCGGCAGCAGCTGGAACCACAACAGCTGGAGCTCCCACAGGAGGGGCGGCAGCAGCTGGAGCCACAGCAGCTGGAGCTCCCACAGGAGGGGCGGCAGCAGCTGGAGATGCAACAGCTGGGCCTGCAGCAGCTGGAACCACAGGAACTAGAGCCACAACAGGAGGGGCGGCAACAGCTGGAGATGCAACAGCTGGGGCGGCAGCAAGTGGGCTGGCAGCACACAGACTGGCAGCACTGGGGCCTGCAGCAGCTGGACACACAGCAGCTGGGACGGCAACAGCTGGACACACAGCAGCTAGGGCGGCAACAGGTAGGCTGGCAGCACACAGACTGGCAGCACTGGGGTCTGCAGCAGCTGGACACACAGCAGCTGGGGCGACAGCAGGTAGGCTGGCAGCACACAGACTGGCAGCATTGAGGCCTGCAGCAGCTGGACACACAGCAGCTGGGGCGGCAGCAGGTGGGCTGGCAGCAGCTGGGGCTGCAGCAGTTCTCCTGGCCTTGACCACAGCCCTGGTCAGAGCAGACAGAGCCACAACAGGAGTTGACCATGGTGTCAGAGGGTGGAGGTTCTGATTAATAGGAAAGTGAGTTTAGTGAATATGAAAATCTTTTCAGTTCGTATCCCCTTTTATACCCTGCTGAGAGTCAGCTGTGACCATGTCCATGACCAGAAATCTTAGTCATCAAACTAGATAATTAATGTTTTCTGGTTAGATGTTTTAAGATGAAGAAAAAGATTTCCTTTTCCTGGTGTCTTACAATTTTTCAGTCTGGTCTTTCTCATAGAGTTGCCTTTGCCATTTGTATACTATGTATTCTCAAGAGAGCCCATCACATGGACCCAATCACTAATTTGGACTTGTGACCTGTGCACCACATGTGATGCCATTTAGGGTACTGGTCTTATGACCAGCATCAATGTCTCCTTTGATGTCCAAAGAGTAGAATTACAGTAGGGAAGTAGAAAGAAAAGGCTCATCTTTGTGGGTCATTTGGGTGTAATGAGGAAGACAGATCCTATTTCTGAGTCATGAGTGTGCTCATTTACATAGTGAATTGTCAATATATGTGCTAGCTAGTCCTTCCTTTACTCAGTTTGAAACTACTTCGAGTGAGTCATTGCTCTTAAATAGTAAAAGGCATTTGGATTCACCTGAAAAGGACTGGCCAATATGGGACAACTTGAGCACCAAAATAAGCAGTAACAATAATGGATTTTAACCCATAAAATATAATAAGAATCTATATGTCTGTAATGGAATCCTGGAGTGGCACCCGACTGCAAGATTGGTTTGTAGTGCAAGGTTGGTGGTTTAAACTCACCAGCCACTCCTTGGAAACCCTACATGGGGTCTCAATGAGTTGGAACCAACTGGACAGCACTGAGCAACAACAACATAAGTCTGTAATGACACAAACTAAGTGAATAAATGAAAAAGAAAGACAAAAAAGTTATCCATGACATAGAATGTAAGCTAATAACTGTAGAAGGAATGATTGATCGTGTTAGACTAATTACCACTTACAACCATCATAATATAATTCAGTTCAAGTAAATAGCATCAGCAGATGCTAATAACTACTGAGTGAAATTTTAATGGAAAAAAGGATGTTTTCACACTTTGAAAAATATTTCTCCAGGACTATTTATTAATTCTAAAAGTGAAAATGGCTAACTTTACTGTGAAGACATTTGAGAAAACACCCTTAGTCAAAGGATTGAAGATTTAGCATCATGAGTCATGGGACAAACAGACATCTTGTGCCTCTTGAAGTCATGCACTGAAAGGACATAATGCTTCGGTAATATTCCTCTGTTCTAATCATGAAGAAACATCAGACAAATAGACATTCCACACAGCAAATGGCCTGGTTTCTTTTAAACTGTCAGTGCCATAAAAGACACACAGGCTAAGGAAGTGCTTGGGTATGTAATGCATGCCGTTGTTAGGTGCAGTCTAGTGCATTCCAATGTATAACAGGACAAAATGTTGTACAGACCTGCTGCTTCTTCATAATCACTGCTATATTGAGTCCATTTTGTGGCTGTTTTGTCCTTTCCCTCATTTTTTGCTGACCCTTTATTTGATCAAACCTGATGTTCTTTTCTGGTAATTGGTATTTATCTTGTGTCCAGAGTAAGTGAATTGAAGTCTAGCCACCCTTGCTTCTAACATACATTCTGGTGATAGTTCTTCTGAGACTGATTTGCTCTTTCTTCTGGCAGTCTACAGGATTTTAAATCCACTTCACCAACACCACATTTTGAATCTAGGAATATATATTGGATAATATAATCATTTTGTTATTAAGTGCTGTGGAGTTGGTTCCCACTCATAGGAATCCTGAACAGGCTTTCCAAGGAATAGCTGGTGGATTTGAACTGCCAACCTTGTGGTTAGTAGGCCAGTGTTTATCCTACAGCACCATTTCAGAACTCCAATATCATTGTAATCAGTTGTTGTTGTTGCTATTAAGTGCCATCGAGTCAGTTCTGACCCATAGCGACCCTGTATAGGGTTTCCGAGGAGCAGCTGGTGAGCTTGAACTACCAACCTTGTAGTTCAAACTGACTTTGCAGTCCAGCGCATTAATTCACAGCACCACACCAGGACTCTAATTATAATCATATTGCTATTTAATTTAATTTATATCTGTACTGTGGTTATGAAAAAGACAATCTTTTTATTTTCAGGGTTAGTATATTAAGAGTGATTAGTTTGGGTCTTGGTGGGGAAATGCTAAAGTATACAATCCACTGTCCTTTGTAGGTGCTTCCACTAGAAAAACTCTTTCTTACACGCCTAACTAACACATTAAATCTTTCATCTGCTTTTGAGTCTCTGAAAAGAAAGGGATGAAGGACTTCTCGTAACATGGATGACTGAGCTGACACTTCCTGGCACAAGCATGTTGAAATACTTAAGAAATAAAAGATTTTTAAATACAGCGATTTTGTAGCCACCTTGAAAAAAGAAAAGAAAAAAATTCTCATTTTTCAGAAACATGGAAGAAATAAAACTGTAAAAAGTACTGGTATCCTCTGGGAAATGAAGGTTCGACATCTAGTTACAGACTCTCAGAGTTGGAGGTTTATAGTTAAAATCCAGGAAAGTATGAGAAATGAGAGCCTAGGTCATCACAAGGCAGGGACCAGGAAATGAGACTCCTGTATAAAGCTGCTGGAAGAGATTCACATTTGTGCCCATTCCAAAGAAAAGTAATCCAACAGAATGCAGAAATTGTCTAACTATATCATTACTTTCACATGCAAGTAAGATTTTGCTGAGGATCAATTAAAAAGTGGTTGTAGCAGTACATCAACAATGAAACACCAGAAATTCATGCTGTATTAAAAAGAGGATGTGGAATGAGGGGTACCATTGCTGATATCAGATTGGTCTTGGCAGAAAGCAGAAAAGCAAAAAGATTTTTATCTGTATTGTATTGATTATGCTAAGACATTTAACTGTGTGAATCATAACAAATTATGAATAACATTGTGAGGAATGAGGATTCTAGAATGCTTAATTGTGCTCACGTGGAACTTATACATAGACCAAGAGGCAATTGTTCGAACAGAACAAGGGGATGCTATGTAGTTTAAAATCAGAAAAATCATCTTCTCAGTCCACAATACTGTAAAATTAGAAATCAACAGTAGGATGATCAAGGAGAAAAAAAAAAAGTCAAATACATGGAAACTGAATAACAGTTTGCTAAAAAAAAAAGTTACTAGGCAATCAAAGAAATAGAAAATGAAATTTAAAAATTCTTTGAATCAAATGAGAATAAAAGCATTATTTACCAAAACCTTTGGGACACTGCAAAAGCAGTGCTCAGAGTTCGGTTTATAGCAATAAGTGCTCACATCCCCAAAGAAGAAAGAACCAAATTCAACACCTTAACCCCAAATCTCCAACAATTAGAACAAGAGCAGCAAAGTAAACCTATAGCTACCAGAAGAAAAGAAACAATACAGGTTAGAGCAGAAAGAAATAAAATAGAAAATTGCAAAATAGAATCAACAAGACAAAAAGTTGGTTCTTTGAAAGGATTAATAAAATTAACAAAACATTGGCAAATCTAACAAAGAAAACAAAAAAGATACTTATAACAGGAATAAGAAATTATATGCATGACATCACAACAGAACCAATGAAGAAAGAAGGGTAATAACAGAATCCTATGAAGAATTACACTGGAGCAAATTTGAAAATCTAGAAGAAATGGGCAATTTGTAGAAAACATGACCTACCTAAACTAACTCAGACTGAAACAGAAAATTTGAACTGACCTGTAAAAAAAGAAATTGATCAAGTCCTTAAAAACTACCCACTAAAATATTTGGGGCCAGATGATTTTACTGGTGAATTCTACCAAATATTCAGAGAAGAGCTGACACCAATTCTGCTTAAATTATTACAGAATATCAAAATGGATAGACAGTTCCTGAATTCATTTTATGAAAAAAGCGCAATCCTGATATCCAAACCTGGTAAAGACATCACTAAAAAATAAAATTATAGACCAATATCCCCCATGAACATAGATGCAAAGATTCTCAACAAAATCCTAGCTAGTAGAATCCAACAGCATACAAAAAAATAATACATCTTGACAAAGTGAGATTCATACCAGATATCCAGGGATGGTTCAGTATCAGAAAAACAATCAATGTGATCCACTACATAATCATATCAATTGATGCAGAAAAGGCATTTGAGAAAACCAAAAACCAATTCCGAAAAAAAAAACCAAAAAAAAAAGAAAAAAAAAAGATATTTCTCAACATAATTTAGGATATGTGGTGCTTAAGGATAAGAACTGGACTGCGAGATCGATGATTCAAACTCACCAGCCTTTCTTTGGAAACCCTTGCCAGTCTTGCAATGAGTTGAAAATGACTCAACAGCACTTAACAATAACAACATAAAAAACCAGTAGCCCTGGAGAGTAACTGAAACCATTCCCCTGTGAACAGGAACCAGACAAGGATGCCCTTTATCACCACTCCTATTCGGTATTATGCTGAAAGACTTTACCAGAGTTGTAAAGCAAGAAAGGGAAATGAAAGGCATCCAAATTGGCAAAGACAAAGCAAAACGCTCTCTATTTGAAGATGGCATGATCCTATACTTGGAAAATCCCTAAGACTCAACAAGAAAATTATTGAAACTCATTAAAAGATTCAGCTAAGTGGCAGGGTACAAGATCAACATACAAAAATCAGTTGGGGAAGCAGACAAATAGAATATCCAGAGAAGCAGCCAGAGACGGAAGCAGAGATTGGGGCATGAAGGAGATCTGCTGAGGACTCATGGGAAGAGAGGGACTAAGAGATGGTGGTCAGGAGGCAGACTTGCAGAATGTGCCCTTTGGAGATGTAAATTATTATATATGCCTGAGTGGTTTTGTGTGTGTGTGTGTGTGGTTTTTTTTTTTTTTAAGCTAAAGTGGATAGAGAGAAATACTGTTAAACTGATGGTACATGGAGGGGAATATAATCATTGTAATGAAGTAAGGTGCATGATTTGTTGAATGTGAAA